ACTGAATTACCATTGATTATTTCACTCAGTCTACCATTATAATCACCTGTGCCTACAACTCTGTATTGTCATTACTATTTCCAGAAAATATAAGAGTCCTAATATAATAAAAACAAAATAGTCCCACTTTTGAATAATGACTATATATGCAACTTCAGCATTTCACCTGTATGAAGTCCCAGACTTAATACATTCTTACAGTCACATGAAAAAGCATGACCTTTTTTTTTTTTTTTTTTTTTTTTAGACAGAGTCTCATTCTGTCACCCAGGCTGGAGTGCAATGGCACAATCTTGGCTCACTGCAACCTCCTCCTCGTGGGTTCAAGCGATTCTCCTGCCTCAGCCTCCTGAGTAGCTAGGACTATAGGCGTGTGCCACGACGCCAGGCTAATATTTGGATTTTTAGTAGAGCCAGGGTTTCACCATGTTAGCCGGGATGGTCTCGATCTCCTGACCCCGTAATGCGCCCGCCTCAGCCTCTCAAAGTGCCTGGATCACAGATGTGAGCCACAGCACCCGGTCGACATTATTTTTTCTTTTTTTTTTTTTTTTTGAGATGGGGGTCTCTGCCACCCAGGTTGTAGTACGCGGCACAATCATAGCTCACTGCAGCCTGGAACTCCTGAAATCAAACATTCCTCTCACCTCAGCCTCCTGAGTGGCTAGGTCTACAGCTGCACACTACTACGCCCAGCTGATTAAAATATATATATATATATATTTCTTTTGTAGACACAGGGTCTTGCTATGTTGCCTAGGCTGGTCTTGAACTCCTGGCCTCAAGTGATCCTACCACCTCGGGCTCCCAAAATGCTGGGATTACAAATGTGAGACACCACACCTGGCTGACACTGTATTTATTTGTAAGATGAGATATGTTCTTTCATGTATTATTTCATATATTCTTTTTAGTTTATAATATCATCAGGGACATGTGTATTCCTAAATATTCCTAAAGTATTCCCCTGAGAACCAACACACTAAAGAACACCATTACTTTCATCTGTATAAGTAAAAATGCGCAAGTATTGTATAAGTCCTAATTAACACAAGAAAATCCAAATATTTTTATTCCATGAATTCCTTTTACACTAAATTGTAAAAATGGAAGATGACAAGAGTCAGCTCTACTTTGAAGTTTTCAAACTAAATTTGTTGTTTCTATAAAGTATATTTGAAACTGTATTTGCTGTTTCATGATCCACAATCATCTCACCAGGTTTTTACTGTTTTTGTATATAGAAAATCAAGTATGAAGGTAATTGAACAAAAGTAAATCCACAGTTATCCACTCAGTAATACTGCTCCTACATAATCAATTGGGAAGTAAAATGAAAGAAACGTCAGTCTTACTTTCCCACCTTCTTAGCTAGCAGTTTATCTTCAGATCCTTAAGACTATTATAAAACATCACATATGAAAATTAATGATGGCCAGGTGTGGTGGCTCATGCCTGTAATTCCTGAACTTTGAGAGGTTGAGGTGGGAGGATCACTTGAGGTCAGGAGTTCGAGACCAGCCTGGCCAACATGGTGAAACCCCATCTCTACTAAAAATACAAAAATTAGCCAGGCCTGGTGGCACCTGCCTGTAATCCCACTTACTTGGGAAACTGAGGCAGGAGAATCACGTGAATCTGGGAGGCAGAGACTGCAGTAAGCCGAGACTATATCACTGCACCCCAGCCTGGGTGACACAGCAAGACTCCATCTCAATAATAATAATAATAATAATAATAATGATAAATTACCAACCCCTTAAAAATTTTAATGAATATCACTTAGTCCTTCATAAGTGAAAAATAGATTAGTCATCAGATTTCAAATGCAGGTTTCACTATCTGAAAAACAACAAAACTAAGAAACTAGAGAATACAAATAATCCTTATCAGATAAATATCATTAGATTTTAAAAGGAAAGTATAAAATAAAGCACCACTATATGAAACCTTAGTGTTTTTTCTTCAATATACTAAATCTTCGTTTTAGGCTAGCAATCTTTATCATTCCTACTTTCCACAAGATAATTTTTACATGTAATTCCTTGGATTCAAAACTCTTTATACCACATGCAGTGTAGATCAACTGGCTACTTAACAAAATTTGCAGTTGCTGGATGGCCCATAATCAGACTGGCAACTTCAAACTGCCAGTCACCTTCCAATGGGTAAGGTCTAGGATTTGTGTTGACTACACATTGTTGAGACCCAGGTTTAGGGCATATGGAATGTAAGTGGTGGACTGGTTTGTGGGTTTGAGGGTCTGTGTGGGAGACTACAATTTCTTCTTTGTGCAAAGTGTAGGAGTGCAACACTGAACATGGACTTAGTCTATGTATGGCCTCCCCACTCCCTCTTCAGCTGAAGCTGGAGAGAATGGGCATTTTGTAAATGTTATGGCATATGCCAATATAATATAATGACATTAAATGAAAACAATAACAAATAAAACATGTTGTGGGCTGTGGGTACATCTGAGTTCTACTATAACCTGGCTGCTGACTTTCTCTGAGACTTTAAACAATTCATGTTGCAGGAAGTCAGGGACCCCGAATGGAGGAACCAGCTGGAGCCGTGGCAGAGGAACATAAATTATTAAGATTTCATTTTAATATGGACATTTATCGGTTCCCAAATTAATACTTTTATAATTTCTTATGCCTGTCTTACTTTAATTTCTTAATCCTGTTATCTTCATAAGCTGAGGATGTACATCACCTCAGGACCACTATAATTGTGTTAACTGTACAAATTGATTGTAAAACGTGTGCTTGAAAAATATGAAATCAGTGCACCTTGAAAAAGAACAGAATAACAATGATTTTCAGGGAACAAGGGAAGACAACCATAAGGTCTGACTGCCTGCAGGGTCAGGCAAAATAGAGCCATATTTTTCTTCTTGCAGAGAGCCTATAAACAGACGTGCAAGTAGGGAAGACGTCACTAAATTCTTTTCCTAGCAAGGAATATTAATAATTAATACCCTGGGGAAGGAATGTATTCCTAGCGGGAGGTCTATAAACGGCCAATCTGGGAGTGTCTGTCTTATGCGGTTGAGATAAGGACTGAAATACGCCCTGGTCTCCTGCAGTACCCTCATGCTTAATAGGATTGGAAAATCCCACCCTGGCAAATTTGGGGTCAGATCAGTTCTCTGCTCTCGAACCCTGTTTTCTGCTGTTTAAGATGTTTATCGAGACAATGCATGCACCACTGAACATAGATCCTTATCAGTAATTCTGCTTTTGCCCATTGCCTTGTGATCTTTGTTCTCCTTTTTGCCCTTTGAAACATGTGATCTTTGTGACCTACTCCCTGTTCTTACACACCCTCCCCTTTTGAAATCCTTAACAAAATTTGCTGGCTTTGAGGCTCAGGTGGGCATTACAGTGCTACCGATATGTGATGTCACCCCCAGAGGCCCAGCTGTAAAATTCCTCTCTTTGTACTCTTTCTCTTTATTTCTCAGCCAGCCGACACTTATGGAAAATAGAAAGAACCTACATTGAAATATTGGGGGTGAGTTCCCCCAATAAATTCACTTATCCTGTGCCTCAGTTTCATTTAAAATGAAGAAAATAAGGGCTGGGCACAACAGCCTATGCCTCTAATTCCAGCACTTTGAGAGGCTGAGGCAGGAGGATTGCTTGAGGCCAGTAGCCCGAGATCAGCCTGGGCAACATAGCAAGGCCCTATCTCTACAAGAGTTTTTATATTTTTTGTTTGTTTGTTTGTTTATTAGCCAGATGAGGTAATACATGCCTGTGGTCCTAGCTACTTGGGGACCTGAGGCAGGAGGATCACTTGAGCTTAAGTTATAGTGAGCTATTATTGTGCCACTGCATTCCAGCCTGGGCCACAGAGCAAGACTTTCTCTTGCTCAATCAATCAAATAAGACAGTACTGCCTCATCTCATTGACTATTGTAATAGAAGTGAGATAATATATGAATAAAGCACTTAAAGCCTTAAAGTTATAAAGAGTTTTTTTTAATGCAAAAAAAACTATTATAAATATTTATAGTGTTCTGGTACTACACTGTCAATGGACACAAATGATCCAAGGTTCATATAGTTTCTTACAGATGAAACACTCATAGCAGTTTGCTCACTAATAAGAATAAAACAGTCTGATCCAAGTAGAACAGTTTTAGTTTTTATTAAAAGCCCAGAACACTGTAAATATTTAGTAATTGGTAAAGGAAGGTAAGTATATTTTAACTCTTAATTCCAAATAAAGACAATGCAATAAATTTAAAATGTAGATACGTTTGTAAAGAGAATATTTCACAAAACTATAGATACCAACCTATTTTTTATGAATATGGCAGGATAAAACTAGTATTTCTCTCTTCCATTTGAAAAATATTCGAAAAGCAACACAAGGAATGAAAAACAGTAACCCCATTTTGGGCAAAACTAGGAGACAAACCACAAAACGAGTAGAAAGGCTGCCAAAAGCAATGGAGATGAAGTAGGAATATATGGTGTAGGCAGCATAGAGAGAACGCTCCAGTTGCAAATGGCAGAAAAAACAAAGTCTACTTCTTGAAGTTGATGGGTACACTTTAAGGTATAAACTCCCGGTTTATATCAAAGTGCACAGGTTGACAGCTAGAGCTTTCCTATATGTGGTTTGGTTCCAAGAAGCAGAAAGAACAATGCTAAGTAAGGAATCACATTAACTATATTTGCAGAGAGAAGTCCATCTCTGTGGCTATATGAGACAAAAGACTTTGTATAATGAAATTCCCCAAAGTTGTCTGTCTCCATTGGCTGAGACAAAATAAAAGATAAATAGAATTTTAAAAATCTACAGTCAAAACAGAACTTTCACAAGAAAACTGTTGATACGGAGCTGATGAAAATCATGATGAATACTCCACCATTAATTAATGAAGTTATGCAATCAACTCTAATTTGAAATTTTAAAAAATATATAATTATAAAATTGTGTTGACTAGAACAATAATGAAGAAACTTGTATAATCAATCACTTACCTCTGATTCATATTTTATTTTTCCTTCGTCTAAAATACGTGCATACTCTTCCTTCTGGTGTTCAAATTCTGACTTGAGAAATGTATGTTCATAGCGAAGCTTATTATATACAGCTCTATACTTTTCCACCTCCTAAATTAAAGGGAGAATGCAATTTATCATAGATTTATAAACAAAATTTGTACTCACTCCAATAGTCACTTTTACAAATATAATTTTAAATTACATTATAATGATAGCCACTCTAAAAGTAAAAAATAAATTTAACAGAAATACAAATGAATTTGGAAAAGTCCTCATAACAAGTATCCTACATATAGAATTAGTACATTCCTGAAAAGATACCCAAAAAGTAAATTATCATTTCAATTAATCTTATTTCTTCACTGGTTCTCATTATAATAAAAGTGTATAGTATGAGGAAAGTGTTAATCTCTGGACTTAAACAACATGTAAGAATGCAGCACACCTTTCAAAAGATAGATTTTTTAAATGTATAATTTAGTATAAGTAAAACAAATTCAAGAGAGATAAAAGGTATTGTAATATTTAGTACAGCATCTTAACATCTAATTAAATATTACAATGATAGTTCAACACACCAACCTGAAAAATACATGCAGCATCATCTCTACTGACTGACCAGGAACACATGCAATTCTCTGGAGTGCTCTCATCCTGCTTCCTAACACTACTCTATGAAAGCTGCTGGCATTCTGAATATGCAACGAGAAACTCAGGCAACAGAGCAGAAAGATACAGGAGACGCTAACAAGAAATTCGATTGAACAAAGAAAGCATGTCTCCTAAAACATCCAGCTCACCAAAAATCTTTAGTTCAAAGATTTCTAAGCCAGTTTATAAACCAAGAAAATGGGTTTCATGATTTCACTACAGATACACTTTGCTTTGATTTAAAAAAAAAAAAAGCTTGTATTGAACTTAATCACTTATCTTGGGTCAAATTTTGTTTATTTACAAAAATTAAATCTACTCCCCAACCATAATGGCTTGCCACTAGGTGTGTATTAGAAAGATCATATTATCAAGCCAGTAAGCCATTATAAAAGACGATTCTACACTGTTTTGGGTAATGACCACATCACTAGACTACAGCTCTCCAAAGGGGCCCATTTTGAAGGAGACAATAATCATTTGTATGTATAAGGCCAGCTATATTTGTTATATAAGGTAACATATAAAATGTCTAGCAAGTATCTAATATACTTATTATCTGCAGTCTTATCCTGTCTCCTTTATTAAGCATTTAATCATACTACACCAACACTTCACCAAAGGAGACTAGTCTCAACCTGAAGTAAAACTGTAACAGATTTTTACTTTTATGAAGTGGCATGAAACTCATTCTCTCTTTCAACAAATATTAATTGAGCACCTACTGTATACCAAAATCTGTTCTAGGAACTTGGAATATAACAATGAACAAAACAGGTAAAGGTTCCTCCTCTCATGCAACTTCCATTCTAGAGGTGGTAAAACAGAAAATAAACACAATAAATAAGTAAATTATATAGCACAGTAGAAGGTATGTATATCAGAAAGAAAATGAAAAACAGAGGAAGGTAAGGAGGTCTAAAGGTCTAAGTAGGAATGGGAAAGGCAGGTTGCAATATTAAATAGGTAGACGAGAGCAGTCAAAGTAGGCCCCACTGAGAAAGTGACATTTTAGCAAAGACTTACAGGAGATGAAGTTAGCCATGACACATCTGGAGGGAGAGTATTCAAGGCAGAAGAGATGTGCCAATTTGGCTGGGCATGGTGGCTCACGCCTGTAATCCCAACACTTTGGGAGGCCAAGGCTGGTGGATCACTTGAGATCAGGAGTTCGAAACTAGCCTGGCCAATATGGTGAAACTCCGTTTCTACTAAAAATTCAAAAATTAGCCAGGCACGGTGGCACGTGGCTGTAATCCCAGCTATTTGGGAGGCTGAAGCAAGAGAATCTCTTGAACCTGAGAGGCGGAGGTTGAAGTGAGTCGAGATCACACCACTGCACTCCAACTGGGCAACAGAGCCAGACTCTATCTCAAAAAAAGATAGTTTTTTTTAATTAAAACTAAAAATAAAATTAAAGAAATGCACCAATTCTGGAGTGTCAAAGAAACATCAGTAGGCCAATGTGGAAAAAGGAAAGGAGATAAGAGAGGTAATGGGAGTCCAATCCTGTGAAGCCTTAGAGGCCGCTGTAATGACTGAGTAAAAGGGGGAACTATTGCAGGGTTTTGGAGTAGGGGAATGATGCTTTTCATCGAGACTTTTATCCTATGAGGATAAATGCACAGTAAACAACGTAAGTTACTTACTTCATCTAGATTCCGAAAACGTTCTCTCATTGGAGTTTCTAATTCTTGTTGTATTTGGGCTCTTAGCAATTCCAATTTTTGTGGAGTTAATATCTAATATGTAGAGAAATGCAAACAATATAAAATCACATTAAAATCAAGAATTCTCCATATTTCAAAGACTCTCTCCTAATTATGAAAATGGAATTCATGAAAGTTTTCACAATATAGTTATTTTTATAGTCATCACTATACAAATAGAATCATCATTTGAAATAATACTTTAAGAATCTCAATTTCAGGCTCTTGGAGATGTCAAAAATTCCATTAACATGAAGTAAAGACAGTTACTGATTATTATTGCTATTGTTAGGAATAACTATGTTGGTAGCTAAGACTATCATGTTGTATACAATGGCTAATAGTCTAGTTATTTTCCAAAGCAGGCAAAATAAAGGTGTAACAATTTGTTATACCAAAGAGAACCTTTCAGACTTATTTTCAATTAGAAAAGGCTCATTTGTACTCTCACACTGTACCTAATTTAGGCTTCTCCTTGTCACACTCTTTTATAGAACTCATATTTTAATAAGCAATTAAATATTTATGTAAGCCTCATATGGGAAGACACAGTCTTTATTCACCATTGTATTCCCAATACCTCCCACGAATGTCTGGCACATAGGAACCACTCAACTACACTAGTTCATGAATGAATGAGGAACAAATGCCAGCTGTAAAAAAAAAAAAAAAATTCTAAAGTTTGTATTTATATTAATTTCTACAAAAATGATAATGTTCAGTTTGTTTTTTTATGAACAGTCCAAATACTATATTCAAAATATTACATTCTACTGAATGGAGAGCATACTATATATAAAGCATTGTACAATGCACTGTAACCTACATACTATCCTGTTCTAAGCACCTTATATGCATTCATTGATTTAATTCCTAGAACAATCCCACAGTATAGCTACACTGAGGCATACAAGGTATTTAAATAACTTTATAAAGATCACAAAAACTCATGTGAAGCACATATCTCCCCATAAAAACTTCAAACTCTGGTGTTAAAAATAACTCATACACACAAATAACTATAAAAGTAGGCAATACAGCCTTACCAGACAGGTAAAAAAGAGAAAACACATTTAGGATAGAAGGCATGATGCATCAAAGGAATGGGAAAACTAAAGCTTATGCAGAACCCTTATATAGAAAGCTTACAGAACCCAAACTCAAGCCAGGTAACATTTTAATTTGCCTGGGTGTCAGAGACTGTATGGGAGAAAAGCGATTCTCAAAGGTTAGTTAAAGCCATTTTGAATGGGACCACATTAAGTACTACAGAAAATTTAAAATTGTGGATCCCTATATTCACACTGGTATAAATCTCTAAACACTGTAACATTTCCAAATGCCACCTTGGAGGGCTGTACCCTGGCTGGAAACAAAAGGAAAAGAGGTTGCAGCCAAAGAGTGAAAGGTTCCTGAATACCAGGTTTAGACTCTTATTATTTATTCGGTATTCAATAGTATTTACTTTAAAAATTTATTTTATTTAAAATGAATATATATAATTACATAAATAATTCAAACAAAAGCTTAAAAGGTCTTCTCACTTCAGTAATCCAATTTTCTTCTATTGAAGCAGTCATTGTTAATAACTTCTTATGTACCCTTCCTAAAACAATCTACAGATACACAAGCATATATATCACTTTTGATTTCTATACAAAAAGGATATTGTACATATATTTTTCTGTACCTTATTTATTGAAGGTTTTTAAGGTTAAGAGTGACACTACCATATCCATATTTTACAAAGAAGCAAGATGAATCAAAAGCTTTAGTGGGAGAGTAGCTGTAGCTGTGGGAAGAAGAGGCAGTAAATGGAGCCAAAGAAACCAGATAGAAAACTCATGTCATAATCTGGTTTACGGTATCAAGTATCAAGTCTGGGTGACAACATCAAGAGTCCAAACTAAGACGAGGTAGCAATTAAAAGGAAGAGATTAATAGGTAAAGCTTACATGGCTCCTGTTTCAAATGATCTAACTTCAAAACTAAGCAAGCAAAACCATGGGAAAACTAAGAAAACCTGAACAAAGATGGGATATTAAAAGGTATTAATGAATAAGTATTTTAAATATGGTAAAGGTATTGTGGTTATGCTTTTAAGAGAGACTGCACTGGTTTGTTATAGAGATATATACTCAATTATTTGTTGAAACAATATGATTTGATTCAAAATAATCCAGAGACATTGAGGAAAAAAGTGGGAGTGGGTGGAACAAAGTAGTAGATAAAACAAGCCTGGCTCAGAGAGAATTATTATTAATGCTAGATGATGGGTACATGGGAATGCATTACATGTTTGAGATTTCCAAAACTGAAAGTTAACTGAAAGTAAAAAGCCTTTCAACCAAGGTAGAGTAAGAGCCCAGATTCACTCTCTTGCCTGAAACAAACAAAAGAACAGACAAAAATTAAACAGTTTCTAGACATAAGAAAGCAAAAGGCAGATCCTTGAGAGGCACAAAACATAGAAGATGAGCTTTGAGAGTTTTCAGGACCTGGCACAGGAAAGGATACCCATGCAGTTATGATGGACTCCCTGAGTTGAGGAGAGGAAACTGAGCATCTAGGGACACTGGGGTGGTTAGAGTCCTAAGACAGGGTAGCAGAGAAAAAGAGGGCACAGAAGGGTAACTATGAAGACCTACAAAAAGTCTTGACTCATTCAGTAGAGTACTGATTAGCACATGTGTGCAAGGAAACTACCTAAGGCTAGGCAAAGAAACACCTGAAAGGAGTAGAAGGATGAATACACAGAGCTCACAAAGACCTAAGAATAGTTTCTGTTCCCCCAAATCAGATTAAAATCCTTCATTTCATAAGGAAATTGTTACAGTAGTCAGAACAATCTTGCGTCAGTGGTGGGAAATAATTAGCACTACACTAAATACTAATCTGGCTCCCACTTAAAACTTAAAAGCAAGACCTAGAAAGATAAAACTGTTTCCAAATAATTCAACTGTGTCCTAAAATAAAGTTCAAGAATATGTATCAGAATATAAAAATATTGGGAGGTGGAGACTGCAGGGAGCTGAAATCACTCCATTGCACTCCAGCCTGGGGAACAAGAGTGAAACTCCGTCTCAAAAACAAAACAAAAACAACAACAAAACAACAAAACAAATCCAGCATTTTAAAAAGAAAGTTCACAATATCTAACATCCAATAAAAAATTACCAGGCATGCAGAGAAGCATAAGAGACAGAGAGAGAGAGAGAGAGAGAGTGTGTGGGTGTGTGTGTGTGTGTGTGTGTGTGTGTGTGTGTGTGTGTGTTAGCAGCAGGGGGGATAAACTTAAAACAGGCCCAGAAATGACACAGATGTCACTGAAATTTTATTGCACAGTTATTGTAACTGAATTCCGTATGTTCAAAGAACTAGAGAAAAGATTGAACATGTTAGATAGAGATAAGGAAGATATAAAAAGACCAAGGCCGGACAAGGTGGCTCACGCCTGTAATCCCAGCACTTTGGGAAGCCACGGCGGCAGATCACAAGCTCAGGAGATTGAGACCATCCTGGCTAACATGGTGAAACCCTGTCTCTAATAAAAATAAAAAATAAAAAAATTAACCAGTCATGGTGGCGGGCACATGTAGTCCTAGCTACTTGGGGGGCTGAGGCAGGAGAATGGCGTGAACCCGGGAGGCGGAGCTTGCAGTAAGCAGCGATCACTCTACTGCACTCCAGCCTGGGCAACACAGAGAGATGCTGTCTCAAAAAAAAAAAAAAAAAAAAAGGCCAAAATTGAACTTCCAGAGATGAAAATTACACTGCATGGAATTAATGGTAGGTTAGATATTGCAGAAGAAAACAATCAATGAAAATCAATGAATCTGAAAACATGGCAAGAGAAACTAACCAAAATGAAGCACAGAGACAAAAAATACTAAAAATAAATAAACAAGATCAGCAAGTTATGGGAGAACTTTAAGTGGTCTAATGTTAGAATGTAATTAAGAGTCTCCAAACGAGGTGAAAGAGGAGACAGAAAATATTTTTAGAAGTAATCTCCAAAATTTTCAGTTTGATAAAAACTGTAAACTCATAGACCTATGGAATTCAATAAACCCCAAGCACTACAGATACAAAGAAAACTGCAAAGTATGTCAATCAAATTGCTTAAAACCAGCAATAAAGAGAGGAGCAGCCAAAAAACCAGACAAGGTGCATTACAAAGAACAAAGATAACCTGTGCTCACTACCCTGTGGAGTGATGCAGCTGCACAATATCCATGCAGCTCCTAATATTACATGTTCAATTACATCACAGATGCCTCTTGGACACAACAGTGCTTTAAATTCTGTAATGGTGTGCACCTTACGATTGGCCTGAGCAATCTAACAGCATACAACAGTTTAGGGGTCTTCTGATCTGAGGTCTCTGACAAAGGATCTCTAACTTTTTCTTAACTCCTAGGAATCTTATTAAAAACAAATACCCACATAATAAATCCTCTCTTCCTCTGTCTCTCCCCATCTCTCCCTCTCTTATCCCCTATATCTCCAAAGCACACATAAACCAAAGACACTGACTGAATTAGAGGATTTCTCCCATCCCATTTTAGGAAAAAATATTCTTAGACTACTTTTATTTATTTATTTATTTTTTTGAGAAAGAAAGAGTCTCGCTCTGTCGCCTAGGCTGGGGTGTAATGGCACAATCTTGGCTCACTGCAAACTCTGCCTCCAGGTTCAAGCAATTCTCATGCCTCACCCTCCCAAGTAGCTGGGAGGACAGGCATGCACCACCACACCCAGCTAATATTTGCATTTTTAATGGAGACAGAGTTTCACCATGTTGGCCAGCCTGGTCTCAAACTCCTGATCTCAGGTGATCCACACACCTCGGCCTCCCAAAGATCTGGGATCACAGCCATGAGCCACCGCGCCCAGCAGTGTCTTAGACGTCTAATGGAATATTGTCACTACTTGTCTCCAAAGAAACATAAGAATGCTTTACCATACAACAGTCTAGGTGTCATTATCTATTTTAAATCTATAAAAACAAATCTTTAACACTGCAGTACTTGCCATTTAATAATCTAAAAAAGGCCAATATTTTACAAAGAATACTTTAAGAAGGTAAATACTGCTATGTCAAACATTCTTAATAAATTAATGACTGAAACTGAGTATTATTATATTTTGATCTGAGCTTCCCAACAGTCAAAACAAAATGGGAAACTGTATACTAGGTTATAGTTTTCATTAGCACAAAAAGAGCATATTAATCATTGGTAAAGTAATTTTCATTTAGTTTTATTAGAATATATCAAATGATCCCCATATGTAAAAAGGTTTTGTTAACATGGTACATAGTAACACAATAACAACATGTACTGACCACTTACTAGATCAAAGTACCATACTAATACTTTTTTTTTATGAATTTCTACCATCACAACTCCTTTTCCTGTGATTTTTTTTTCCCCGCTTCAAATTTTCATTTGTTTTTAGCCTGCTCTAAAATTCTCAGTTATTGCTTGATAAATAAGAAACAAAATACTACAATCTCTGGGTCCTTGGTGAAAACTGTATTTCTCGCTGAAGAAACTGTACCTTTTTATTGGTTTTAGAAAAAATGAGACCTCTTTTTCATTAGCATTTATCAACAGTACAAGTTTCTTTTCATTTTTATTTTTATTTTTTTTTTGTTAACAGTCAGGGTCTCACGCTGTTGCCCAGGGTAAAGTGTTGCCCAGGCTCCAGCTCCCTGAAGCCTCAAACTCCTAGGCTCAAACAAGTCTCCTGTCTCAGCCTCCTTAGTAGCTGGGACTACAGGTGCATGCCACTACATCAGGCTAATTTATTTAACTTTATTTTTTAGAGACAGAGTCTCACTATGTTACCCAGGCTGGTTTTCAACTCCTAGCCTCAACTGATCCTCCTGCCTCCCAAAGTGCACCATGCTCAGCCTGAACTAACACTTTCCATGCATTGTCTCATTTCATCCTTACAGTCATCCTATGAGCTAGGCACTATTATCATTCCCATTCACTACTGATGCAGAAATGTTCTTTAAATGAATCTCTTATATCTTTTTCCTATAAAAGCCAAAGAGATGACATTAAATCTTAGAAAAAGCATTTTTGTAGGTAGACTAGATAATGCATGTATATTTTAAAAATAATCTCCTTTCATAAACTTTCATTGAAATATTTCTTGATCTTTGTTGAATTTACTTTTCTAAACTTACAATTCACATAAATTTCAAGCATCCATTAAATAAACAGCTAAATTGCTTCAAAATATGTGTTCATATGTATACATGATTGTTTCTTTAGCTTATTTTTGCCAAATAAATATCACACAGAAACTAGATATGTGTATCTTAAAAAACAGAAGCCTTACTAGATAAATTATATTTGTGAGCAAACATTTGGGAAGTTTTCACTTGGAGGAACATGCAAAGTTATCAACATGGAGGCTATAGCGTAGATGACTTCATTTTAATAGGAGACGGAAAATGTTTAACATACTTTAATCTATAAATACAATCGGATCACTTTAAAAAGTTCACCAGGTTCTCTAGCACTGAAAGCACTGAAGCAGAGAATGAAGAGTCCTGTCTGAAAGATGTTCTAAAAGGGATTCTGCTTTGGACAGTGTATTCGTTTCCTAGGTTGCCATAATAAAATACCAGAAACCACGCAGCTTTAAATAACCGGTTTGTTCTTTCACAGTTTTGGAGACTATTAGTCTGAAATCAGGGTGTGTTGACAGGCCTTCTTCCCGTAAAATCTGCAGGGAAGAATCTTTCCTTGCCTCTTTCTAGAAAGCTTCTGAAGCACTTAAATCTCTGCCTCCACCATCACACAGTGTTCCCCTCAAACCCATCTGTTTCCATCTCTCTTCTCCTCTTTTTTTAAGGACACCAGTAACACTGAGTTAAAGGCCCAACATACTCCAATATGACCTCATCAACTTAACAAATTATATCTGTAATGACTCTACATCCAAATAAGGTCACATTCTGAGGTACTAGGAGTTAGGACTTCAACATATCCTGGTTGGGGATACAACTTGACCCATAATAGATTCAAAGAAAAAATAGATGATTACCAACTCTAACATGCTGAGGCTCTAGGTATGTTTGAAACAGACAGTGCAATATATGAACAACAATCCCAATTCATTCATTTATTTCAATTTTTCATGTCATTCATTCAACAAATAGGTGTTTACTAGGCATTATCCTAAACACTGAAGACACACTGAAAAAAAGTTCCTGCCTTCATGGAGCCTGAATTCAAATAAACAGGTCATCATTTATGAACATTTACTATGTGGCAAGTATGGTAGTAAAAATGTAGATGTTATCTCATTAGTCCTCACAACTCTTCTTGTTAAGCAGAAACTTTTATCCCCTTTACCACACGAGAAAACTAGGCATAGAGACATAGTCACTTGTTGAAGGTATCATCTTCTGGAAGAATTGACCCTTTTTTTTCATTATAAAATGTCCTTTTTATCTTTAGTGATACTCTTTGTTTGGAAGTCTCTTTTATCTGATATTAATATAGCTACTCCAGCCTTCTGGATGTGCTTTACTTACTTTCTGGATGTGCTTGGTACAAATAATCACGTTTAGATGTCACTCTCACAAAACAGAATTAAATTTATAATACCTGAAGAATCTCTCAAATATCTTGGGTTCAGCATTCACAGCTTCCATTCACACAAGGCTCTAAATTTTTGCAAAACAAATTAATGCATTGATTGTACAGGCTTAAATTACATTTCCCTCTTCAATTTACATTTCTGAGGTTTCTATTTGTATATTTAAATGTCCTAAATATACCTAGGAATGAAACAGTGAGCATAGTGGAGGCTCCAAGCCAGGCTTCGTGGTGTTCCCAGCAATGGTAGATTTCAAAAAGTTATTGAATGACAAACTTACAAGGCTTCTGTCAAAGGATATCTAAGAGTTGGGTGATATGCCAGACAGGTGACTTGAAAGATGCCTTCTTACTCTCTGAACTTCTGACTCTAATATTAATAATACCTTATTATTTGTACCAAGTAGATTGTTAAGCAGAAATAAATAGCTGGTGCTCTTCAGAGATTAATACAGGAAAATATTATTTGTGAGAACCTACTAATTTAAAATTTACAGGAAATTTGACTGGAGTTTAAAGTCTGGCTTTGGTCTACTTTCCAGACAAATGAAAAAATGAATAGTGTGAAAATTATCTAAAGAAACTGTACTTCAGCACTTCAGAGATAACCACCTTTTGCTTTACAAACCCATTTGCTTTACGACGTACACAAAAATTATGTGCACATACTGTTTTTACAGTCTCTTTTAAGAAGCTCCTTATGAACAGCTATCTTTTTTTAGTTTACTTTCAGTTATAATACATATACAAATATCAGTAAATCTTTCTTTTAAAAAAATTCTTTAATTCTGGATTTTTATCAATTCAAACTCACTTTTTCCCTAATTATTCTTAATGGTAAAATATTATTTATATCAGAATAGGCAATATAATACCAATTTACATAAAATAATAGTTTAATGGCTCCCTTACATGGTAGCTAACACTCTAAAATATATGAAAGAAGATTAAATTGTACCACTTGGAGATACAGCAAAGTAATCATTAAGGATATAGACAGAAATTGCCAAATTCACCAAAACTACTTACTTCCATTACGTATCTGACTACTTTTATACTAACTCAAATATATTTTCTCACCTGCAGTTTCATTTCTTCTAAGTCTTTAGTTTTCTCTACTAATTCTCCTCTTAGTTCTTCAAGCAGCAGCTGAAGTTTTTCCTGCTGAGTTTGCTTTTCATTAAACAGGTGCTTGAGTTCATTTTGTAACTTTACATATTCATTATGCAACCTGGTTTTTTAAAAAAGAATTCAATTTTGAGTAAATCCTTTCTTTCCAATTGCATTACTTTATGTAAAGTCAATCAACACTACAGAAAAACAAGACCAATATCACACATTACTTTAAACCCACAAATATCTTCTCTTTACAGAGTTTCATTTAATTATTAACACTGTAGTTTTAGAACACAATTTTACTTTGGTGGGAGATGGGGAACACATTTAGCCATCTGGATACATTTAATCTTACATGGCTTGCTACTTTCAAAATAAGGTGTATAAATTCATAACCCACTTGATATCATACTTAGTTTGGAACAAAATAATTTTAAAGTAAAAATTTTACTATATTAAAACAGTTTTAAATGTATACACTGCAAAATAACAAAATTATACTATATTCCATAGCAAACATTCAGCCAAGATAATGCCAATAACTTTTTAAAACTAAACCCCACTTCTAGATTTAAGTAATTTACCTTGTGTGTTCAGCCTTCAGAGTCTGATAATTAGCTTTATGATGCTCACATCGTAACCTTTCATCAATTAACATTTTCTGGAACTCCGACTGAGAACCTGTCAATCCGCTGTCTCCACCAGGAGGAAAATTATTGGGAAAAGTGTCCATATCGGTAAATGTGCTGACAACCATGTAAAAATAAGTTTTGGCTTTCTTACTGTTTTAGTTTTCTTTCCAAGAGTATTTCCTGCTCCTTTCTTGCTAAGGCAGAATCTCAGAAGGCCAAATTATACCTGCGCAGAGAAAAAACATAATTTGCGATCAGTAAAAGCAAGCTTCCTTTAATGTCACATCTTTTTATCACTTTTATTATTCTCCTTATCTTTTCTTTTCTTTTCTTTTTTTTTTTGGGGGGGGAGGAGTCTGCCCAGGCTAGAGTGCAATGGTGTGATCTTGGCCCACTACAACCTCTGCCTCCCAGGTTCAAGCGATTCTCCTGCCTCAGCTTCCTGAGTAGCTGGGATTACAGGTGCCTGCCACCATGCCCGGCTAACTTTTGTATTTTTAGTAGAGACGGGTTTTCACCATGCTGGCTAGGCTGATCTCCAACTCCTGACCTCAGGCGATCTACCTGCCTTGGCCTCCCAAAGTGCTGGGATTACAGGTGTGAGCCACCATGCCCAGCCTATCCTTATCATTTTTATTACAAAGCCCAATTCTCAGATTTTAATTGTTCATAAAACAAAATGCAAATATAAAGCCGAATCACACCTCGAAAAATTTTCTTTATTTCCATGCAGCTTCTGTGACCATAAAAATCACATCTTCAAGTATTAACCTAGCTCCACTAGAAGCACAGACTTCTCCAGTTTAGGTAGTCTTAAATTCACAAACCAGTGTTGTGTTTCCTGAAGCTACTGCAGTAAGCTTCAAGTATAGATCCTGGTACAAAATCCATACTTCCAAATTAGAGGAAAAGCTATTTGGATCCTGGTAACTGGCTGGGGAAAATCAAGGTCTTCGAAAGGTGACTTCCAGCAAGTAACTATGTCTATGATTAATCCTTTGAAGAGTCTTTTATTTGACACAACGCAAGCTGCACCCAGACTGCAGATTCAGATGAGAAATTAGTCAACACATAAATATTGATCAACTCCTATTTGTTATACACTGTTATGAACAGAAAACTAAATCTCACCTATCTCCAAAAGCACTGACTCAGTATTACGAACGTCACTGTTTATTTCATCTAGAAGTAAAAAATGATGTTTCAAAGTGTTCTTATAACTAAGAACAAAAATTTTAATTAAAATAGTTGTCACCTTTCTTTCTCTAGTCCCATAATACATATATACATATACACATATATATACACATACACACACACACACATATATACATACATATTTTTTTCCTGATAGAATCTTCCTTAGTCATGGGTTATTAACAAATCACTTCTTATAACAAAAAAAATCTTTGTCCTATGCAAATCAACCATTAAATTATTCAGCCTTGCTTGAATTATACCATCTCTGATAAATTAGTGTGATATCTACATATTACTTAAGACAACCTTTAAACTATAATTGCAGTTGTTTTGGTTTACTCTGAAATTATATTTTAACAGAAGGGGAAAAGTCCCTCAAGAACATTATACTCCTTACTCTTAGGTTTAATGTGCACTGGGATTCAATCTTTGTAAATACAGAATGTGCTATCTGTAGCAGCTACCACAAAATTATCCTGCCAAAAGTATACATTTGCCAAGGATTAATGAATTGCATCATAAAACTGGCATTCAATTTTTACTCCACTGTGGGTAAAATGCTATCAAATAGAATCTCATGCTCCAACGAAATCTTTCGTGAAAAGAAGAATCAACTGATGTGGCAAACTTCACTGTTGTCTCATATTAAGAAATTGCTACAGCCATCCCAACCTTCAGCAACCACTACTCTAAATAGTTAGCAGCCATCAGCAGAAAGGCCAGACCCTCCATCTGCTAATAAAGGATGACTTACTGAAGGCTCAGGTGATCAACAGTATTTTTTTAACAACAAAGTACTTTCTAATTAAGGTATCTACATTTTTAAGACATAATTATATAGTAAACTTAACAGACTACGGTATAGTGTAAACATAACTTTTCTATGCACTGAGAAACCAGAAAATTCATGTGACATGCTTTATTGTAGTAGCAATCCAAATAAGTTAAAATAAAGAAACACTAATTGCTAAATGTAAGGTTAGGTTTACTCTTGGCTTCTTAAAGCTTTATAGGAAGAAAAAATATTTGGGGATTAATAAATACGTTTGGCTCCACATTAAAAATTATTCTACGGAAAAAAATACATTTTTAAAGATTATAAAATGTGTATTTATAAAATGTTGATATGTGACAGCTCAAAATTGCCTACTTCCTAGGTTTTCACTAAAAATTAAGATTACTAAGATTTAACTAAAAATTAAGATTACTAAGAGTTAAAATTCTAGTTAATACATACAATTCTGTAAGCAAAGTGTACAAGAAAAAACAAAATTTGTTTTTGGTGAAAAATTGTTTTAAAAGACATAAAAATGTTTTTATTTAAAAATTTGTCTAATTCAGAGGTTATTGAAAGATTATTTCAAAATATGAATTTGGAAAAACATAAAAACAAGGCAGAAAGGAACAAGCAAAAAACAGATACAAAAACTATGACAATGTATTTTTGGTAAGAAAAGAGAATGACAGTAATTTTTTGTATAAAAAAATCTTATGTGGTTGAAATGATAGAAAAAAAAGGGAAGTAAATTTTTGTCCTAAGGTAAAATGATTGTTTCAATATAGAAAACAGAAATACAAGACAAAACTAAAGCATTGTGCAAGTTGTAGAAGGTCTGGGCAAATTATGAAAGGTTTGTGAGAGATGAATCTTATGAAAGGAATTTTATTTGTGAACAAATTGGCTAAGATGAAAAGTAAACTATTTATAGGTTTGTCTTAAAATTGACTCCTCATATCAAAAGTACACTGATACAAAACTAAAATTTGATATTCTCTTTTAAAACAAGATTTTCTTAGAGTACTGATTACTCTCAATGAAAAAATAATAAAAGTACATTTTAAGACAAAAAAAACCACTATTTAAAAATAATAAAAGTAGATTTTAAGGCCAAAAAAAACCCACTATTTAAAATGGAGAGAGAAATTAATAATGATAAAGGTTAAATACACCAGAAAGATGTGATGATTTTAAATTTATATGCACTTACTATGGCCACTAAATACGTAAGGCAGAAGTTGTCAAAACTCTAAGGAGAAACAGACAAATTCACAATGATAAGAGGAGAATTTCACCACTATTCTTGGTAACTAATGGGACAAGATGATTTTTAAAAATAATCAGTAAGAACACAGATAATTTAAACAACACAATTAACCATGCTGACCTAACTCACATATGGAAGACTATACCCCATAACTACAGAATACACACAACTCACAAGTATACACATAACATTTATAAATATCAACCACATGCCAGGTATTTTTTAAAAATTTCAAACATTTTAAAAGACCAAGATCATACAAGACACCTTCTCTGACCACAATGCTATTAAACTAAAACTCAATACAAAAAATAACCAGAAAAGCCACATGTGTTTACAAAGTAAGACACACATTTCTAAATAACTTATGAATCAAAGAAAAGGTCAAAATAGAAATTAGAAAATATGTAGTACTAAATGAAAATTGATACCCCATTTCAAAATTTATGGAATAAAGGTTTCTACTTTGAGGAAGATGGAGCAGATACACATTTTCCTTTTAAACTCATTAATACAACTAAGAGTGCTGGATTTAGGTTATGACAAACTTAAGACTGAATAACGGAGACTAGAAGGCTGACCACCTAAGGACCTGAGAATGCAAGGACAAATACAGTGGTGAGTTTAGTTCCCTGGGCTTTCTTTTTCATATATCTCAGACACAGAGCTGAAGAAACTGGCAACCAGGAAACACCAATTAATTCAGACAAATAAGTCTTGAACAAAAAAAAGCCTACTCTCTAGCCAAAGGAACAAAAAAGAGGAAGCCTAGCAAGATAATATGTAGACAATTACAATGCACTCTATCCAAACACCACACACACACACACACACAAAACTGCAGTTCCACCTCCATCCACACAAGCAAAGATCAGGTGGAAGCCAAGGTAGGCTATAATAAAATACCCTAGTACTGGGCCAAGATGGTACACAAGAAGGCTGACTAGAAAACAGAAACTTCCATTGCTTCCTGAAAACGTAATAAAGCTCAATGATCCCACAATGTCAGAGGAGACGACACAGAAAACCTAAACTTTCACCTCCACCAACAGTAACAAAGAGGACCTCCCTCACCCCACTGAAGTACTGGCACAGAAGGCCTAGTTAGGACAGGCACAACCACCAACAGTAATGAGGCTACCCTCTCCAGGGTATCAGTGAAGATCACGTGGAGAGCCAGAACTACAGCTACCTGGCAATAACAAAGACCCCTCCCGCAAGCTCCCTCCCAAAAAAACTAAAGTGTCAACAGAGGCCAATTTAGAAACCTCGACTTGCTAGGCACTATGGCTTGTGACTGTAAATCCCAGCCACTCAGAAGGTGAGGTGGAAGGATTGCTTGAGACCAGGAGTTCGAGACCAGCCTGGGCAACAGTGAGACCCTGTCTCAAAAAAAAAAAAAAAAAAAGTCATTAGCTGGGCATGGTGGCATGTGCCTATATGCCCAGGTACTTGGGAAGCTAAGGTAAGAGGATTGCTTAAGCCCAGTTCAAGGCTGTAGTGAGCTATGATTATGCCACCACACTCTAGCCCAGGCAACAAAGCAAGACTCCCACCTCTTAAAAAAAAAACACACACATAAACAAAAAAAAACCTTGTACTTCCACCCCCACCTGGCAAAAACAAGGTAGTAGTTTCCTCTACCAGAAAAGTGTCAGAAAAAGCCAGCTAAAACAAAAGGTTTAGATAGAATCCATAGTATTATAATATCCCAAATGTCCAAGTTTCAATAGAGAACCACTGGTCGGCCAGGCACGGTGGCTTAGGCCTGTAATCCAAGCACTTTGGGAGGCTGAGGCAGGTGGATCACCTGAGGTCAGGAGTTCAAGACCAGCCTGGCCAACATGGCAAAACCCCATCTCTACTAAAAACACAAAAATTACCTGGGTGTGGTGCTGCATGCCTATAATCTCAGCTACTCAGGAGGCTGAGGCAGGAGAAATGCTTGAACCCAGGAGGCAGAGGTTGCAGTGAGCTATGA